AGGGGAAGGAGGAGGATCGAACAGGAAGCTATTGCGCAAGCGCGGACCCTCGAGGGCCGATGGGAAGTTGAGGATAACAGCGGGAAGGAGGGGGGGGAAGGAGGGGAAGGAGGAGGATCGAACAGGAACAGATTGCGCAAGCGCGGGCGGTGGGGGCGCGCCCTCCTCGAGCAGGCGCGGTGCCTCCCACCCGAGCCCTGCTGAGGACGCCCCCCTCGAGACGCAGCCAGGGCGAGGATCCAAGGTACGTCGGACACCCCCCTCTTGGCCGCTCCCGATGGAAGTGAACGCCGCCTCCAGCGCCATCTCCGCCGAGATCGGACCGAGGGAGCCAGCGGCGCCCCAGCTGCTCAGACGCACCCCCTCCTCCCGTGACCGCTCGCGCCGGATTGGCACCCTTAAGTCCTGCAGAGTCTGGTCGAGAGCCTCCTGGCCGACCGGCGGGGCGATATTCCCTGACAGACCCCCCCTCCTCATCCGCAGAAGTCAGCAGGGGCGGAGGAGCGGGGCCCCTGATAAACCTGTGGGCGAACCCCGAGAGCCTCGCTCAGCCACCGAAGCCTGAGCCCAGGACCTCCACTTTTTGCAGCGTTCCGCAGCCTCCTGCTTCACCCTGCGCGTCACTTCGCCCTGGACGATCAGCAAAAGAGCTCCTGGCGTCCTCGGCCCCAAGCCGAGCAAAGCAGGCGTCCAATTTGAGATCCCTGAGACTCTCCACCTCGGCAGTCGCACACAGGGCCCCCAAGGGCTGGGCTGCAGCTCGAATACGGGACGGGCCCCTCTTCCAACTCCGGAGCTGGATGGCTCGGCGGCGGAGCGAAAGCCACCTCTGAGCATCTAAGTTCGAACGCAAGTGAAGCTCCTGGCCCCAGGCAGCTTGCAGCGGCACAGGCGGCATCTGGCAACCCTTGGCCCTGCCCAATCGCTTGGCGTCCTGGGCGCCGTGGGCCTCGCAGAGGGCCTTCTCCGCCGCCTCGAACCATCTGGATCGGGGGAGAAAAAGATACGGATACGTGTTGTCCCCCTTCGTTTGCGGCCTTTCCTGGCCCTCCTGGGGAATCCTCGTTGTCACCGCTGGATTCGCCTCGAAATTCTGGTCAGAACGCACCCCAAGAGAGGTCCGGGGACAACACGTATCCTTATCAGGGTCCAAGCCCGAATAATCAGGGCCATCCCAGGAGCCCGAACAAAAAAATCGCATCCCTCTCCTCCTTTGACTTGGGCCGCGGGAGCGCTCCAGGCACCACCCGCTTCCGGGCCTTGGCCCGGCCGGCCAGGTGATGGGGCCCAAGAGCCACTGCGCAATGCGGGCCCACGGGCGCGCCCACGAGCCCGTCGCAGCTGCGGACATGGAGCAACAGGCACTTGCTGAGCACACAAATATCGTAGCAGTTGTCGTGGCACGTCGGCCCTGCAGGCCGCACAATACAGGCCCCCATGCGGTCTATCCGCTGGGCCTGTCGGAGAGCCTCAGCATCGATGTCCCAGTCGCCTCCGACGATGAAAGGGATTCCTGCCGACGCTGCCACCTCACTGACATGGTCGAGGAAATCGATGCTTTCTCACAGCCAAGCCCAGAGTCGTGCGTCCATATACAGAGATGAACAACATCTGATTGACTTGCGAAAGGGCGACCCGACGTGCAACAATTCTTTCCGAGCACTTCTCATGAACGAAGGTCGTTGCACCAAATTGTGATTGCGAAGGCCTGACGGCCGGTGCCGCCGACCCTGTTCGCAATGCGCAGCAAGAGGCACGGGCTGTGGGATGGTTTGGGGGAACGGGGAGAAGGACGAGAAGGTGGGGGAGGGAGGTGTCGTATCTGACCCGGGACTTCCCCGGGACTCCCCCGGGACCCCCCCCGGGACCTCCTCTCCCCCCCCCGTCGGGGAAGGGAAAGGGAAGGGGCTTCCCTTCGACTCAATGACGACGTTGCTCAAGGTCGGTACGGGGGGGGGGCGTCGTATCTGACTCGGGGGGGGGGTCGCTACCCCCCCCGCTACCCCCCCCCCCTCCCGGCGGGGGAGGAATGAAAGGGAAGGGGCTTCCCTTCGACTCAATTACGAGGTTGCTCAAGGTCGGCTTGGCTGGAGCCCAGGGGAAGAGGAGTCCCAGGGGGGGGCGTCGTATCTGACCCGGGGGGGGGGTCGCACCCCCCCCCCCTCCCGGCGGGGGAGGGATCAAAGGGAAGGGGCTTCCCTTCGACTCAATTACGAGGTTGCTCAAGGTCGGCTTGGCTGGAGCCCAGGGGAAGAGGAGTCCCAGGGGGGGGCGTCGTATCTGACCCGGGGGGGGGGTCGCTACCCCCCCCCCCTCCCGGCGGGGGAGGGATCAAAGGGAAGGGGCTTCCCTTCGACTCAATTACGAGGTTGCTCAAGGTCGGCTTGGCTGGAGCCCAGGGGAAGAGGAGTCCCAGGGGGGGGCGTCGTATCTGACCCGGGGGGGGGGTCGCTACCCCCCCCCCCCTCCCGGCGGGGGAGGGATCAAAGGGAAGGGGCTTCCCTTCGACTCAGTTACGAGGTTGCTCAAGGTCGGCTTGGCTGGAGCCCAGAGGAAGAGGAGTCCCAGGGGGGGGCGTCGTATCTGACCCGGGGGGGGGGGGTCGCTACCCCCCCCCCTCCCTCCCGGCGGGGGAGGGATCAAAGGGAAGGGGCTTCCCTTCGACTCAATTACGAGGTTGCTCAAGGTCGGCTTGGCTGGAGCCCAGGGGAAGAGGTCTCCCAGGGAAAGGGAAGGACAGAGACGACGAGTACAAAGAATGACGGAGATGACGGCTCGAACGGAAAAGCCCCTCACACACGCCGACAGGGTCGGCGGATTGAACCAGCGCCGCCGCGCCACGTGAGAAACTCTCGCTCACCATCTCCCGTCCTGGTCGCAGCCCTACGCGACGATGCGCAACCTGCCTTCGCAGCCAATGACCGAGGCGAGGCCAGCTGGTGAGGAAGAAGCCGATGATCTTGAACAAGAACCCCACCATCTACTGTGTCCTTTCACCTCTTTGGCCCACTCCAAGAGCTTCAAGCCTGTGGCCCCACGCATTGGCGCTGCGCGTCACGAGCGAAAAAAAAACATCCGATCCAGCAGCCTCAGCAGGGGAGGCGCCGCTCTGAACTGGGGCATCGGCCACCCTCTCGTGAGAGGCCCAGAACAGAGGCTGGGCATGGGGACGGGCATCGACCACCCGCGCGTCTGCGGCCGCCACCACAAGCCCGCTGCACTCTCCCCTCGGGATCCGCCCTGGCTCAAGGCTCGAGGGCCCCCCCCAGGATGATTAAGCACCCCGAAAACGGCGCCGTGCCTCGGCGCAGTAGCTGTGTAGACTGAGAGCTGGCCGCCTCGGTGGTCCGAGCCTGGCGTCGTACCTTGGAGCGGTCGCGCGGCAGCCCCATGGCTCGGGGGCGGGGTCGCAGGGCGCCTCGAGAGCTGCTCCCCGCCCCGCCCAGACCAATGTGCCGTCTCACCGGACAACTGCAGACCAGCCCGCGTTGCCCCACCAGCAACGGCGCGCTCGCCCAGCACGGCGCCGACGGCGGCCCGAGGGCCCGCGGCGCTCGGAGGGCCCACGGGCACCGCAGAAGACACGCCAGCCAAAGCTCCAGCTACGGTAGCACCAGCCTCAGCAACCCTTGGCGACGCAGCCCTGCCCCTCTCGCTGTTTACCACGCGGGTGCACCGGGGGGCAGTTCCTGGCAAAATGTTCGGCGGTTGAGCCCAGCCCATCGCGCTGTTCACCCCTTAGGTGCACCTGGAGGCTGGGACGTGCGTTCTAACACCTGCAACCTCCTGCTCCTCGACGGCACGAGGCATTGACGAGAGCCGCGTCGGGACCAGCGGTTCGCACGAGGTTAGGCCGATCTCCCGCGCGGATCGGCCCGCAGCACCCACGCCTCCACGCATCGCAGCAGCGTCCACAATCGAGCCCACCCCCGGGCTCGAGGAGCACCCAGGGCGCGCCGCGTCAAGTGGCTTGGCCCACGTCGATGAAAACAAGTGAGCCCAGCGACGTAGCACACCACCCTGAGGAACAGCTCCAGCCAGCCTCAGCAGGGGAGGTGCCGCTCTGAACTAGGGCATCGGCCACCCTCTCGTGAGAGGCCCAGAACAGAGGCTGGGCATGGGGACGGGCATCGACCACCCGCACGTCTGCGGCCGCCCACGCAAGCCCGCTGCACTCCCTCTTCGGGATCAGCCCTGGCTCAAGGCTCGAGGCCCCCCCGGGATGGCTGGGCACCCCGAAGAAGGCGCCGTGCATCGGCGCGCCTGCAGCATCTCGCCCCGCAACCATGAAGAACAGCTCCAGCCAGCCTCAGCAGGGGAGGTGCCGCTCTGGACCGGGGCATCGGCCACCCTCTCGTGAGCAGAGGCTGGGCAGGGGGACGGGCATCGTCCACCCGCGCGTCTGCGGCCGCCACCACAAGCCCGCTGCACTCTCCCCTCGGGATCTGCCCTGGCTCAAGGCTTGAGGGCCCCCCCCGGGATGGCTAGGCACCCCGAAGAAGGCGCCGTGGATCGGCGCGCCTGCAGCATCTCGCCAAAACCTGAAAGTTTCTCGCGCGGCGCCGCTCCAGTAGCGCTCGAAACATGTCGATGATCTGCTGCAGCTGTGACCAATGGTGTCGAGCGAACTGCTCCCACACCGCGGCATTGAGTGGACGCAAATATAGCAGGAAGGCACGACGACGCCCACGGCCCCGCGTCCATGCTTCAGAGCAGGCCTCACGCTTTGCGTGGTTCACATATCCTCCAGAGCCATCCCTGCGCAAGGGACTGTATCTCTGAACAAAGGCATCTCGAAGTCGAGATTGCGTGGGCTATTAAAATCTCCGTCAACCAGGCCTCGCACCAGTCCGTCCACGAAGGGCAGTCAACGTCCGTCTGGCCTCCTAGCTTCCGTATCCATCGCGAACTTCAGCCCGCCAGCATGGCCAAAAAGGCCTTGCGCTCCCTGACAGGGTTGGGCGGCGGCAGCGTTGGCACCTCAGGCGGCGGGAGCCCCATCAGCCCAACTCCATCAGGAGCTGGACTGCTTCGCCACTGCACTCCCTGGCCCTCTGGACCATCGCGTCGGTAGCCTTCTGGTCGCGCTGGACAGCGGGCGCTGCTGCGGCTGCTGCACATGGGCCTCCACCTGCAGCGGCGCCATCCGCATCGGGACCAGCAGGGGGGGGCTTCCGCAGCAGCCCCGCTGCCCGCTGGCGGAACGCCAGCCTGGCTGGCGGGCGCCCGAGCTGCTGGTTGGGCTGCAGCTCCTGAGCCTCCAGCTGGTTGGGTGCCCTCTTCCCTGACGTCCCGGCGCTGGCGCTTGGAAGAGAGCCGTGCTCGCATTTCCCGCGCCTCCTGCCGCAAGGTCTGGACGTTGGCCGCGCTGGGCCCGGTCGCGGCCATCGTGCCAGATGGCCCCCTGTATCTGCTTGCCCATCGTGGCTTTGGGCTCGAGCCGCCTCGCCTTCTCGCAGTCCTCGACGTCAAGGTCCGAGAAGTCCAACATCTCCCCGTCCACAAACTCGACGGCGTCAATCTCACCCTCCCCGTTGAGCAGCTGGGAGAGGTTGATCTGGGAACCGACAGGGACTGCCACTCCATCCACCGAACACTTCCCTTCAGCCTTGTGCAGCTCATGCTTGAGCTCCTCCTGCCATCCGAGCTTGGCCTCGTACGCCACGACGGCGGCCTCGGCTGTGGCAGCGCTGCACTCCTCGAGGTAGCCGCGCGCCGCATCCTCGCGAACGACACACGCCTCGAGCTGAGCTTCAGCCCTACGGCAGGCCAACCCCTTCGCCGAGACCTTCTCCTCCAGCAGCGGCGCCCTCGCAGGCTTCGCAGGCTGGGCTGGCGGCGCGATGGCGCCATCCAGCGCCTGCAGCTCCACCGACGCGTCGCCTCCCAGTCGCCAGCGCAACTGCGCCAGGAGGGCCGCCGCGTCCATATCGCCAGGCTGCCGGGCCCCGCCCTAGGGCTTGGCGGCGCCCCACTGTCACTCCCCAGGCGGACGCGCGGGCAGCACCTGGCTGCGCGGGACAGCCGCCGCCTGTGCGGCCCAGGCGCCCTTGGCAGCGTCGCGCCGCGGCATCTCCATGGGCCCCAGCGTCGAGCCACACTGAAAGCAGAAGGTCCTCGACTTCCAGTTCCACTTGTGCCGACACGCCGAGCACGAGACATAATTGGCGGCATGAGCGGCCTTGCCCATTGGCTCCTGCAGGAGCTCCCTCGAAACGTCGCCGTGCCCATTGGCACAGCAAGGTGCAATGCACGGGCCCCACGAGGGAGCTGTGAGAGGTACTCCAGATTTCGTAATAAAAGGGAGGGAGTCTGGACCCTCCAAGACAAGCCATTTCAGACCTCCCCCGTGGGAGAACCTTCCAAAACATCGTCCCCAGACCCCCCAGGCCCTCCAAGATAGCCTGGAAGAGACCCCCCCCCGAAATGAGACCCCCCTCCCTTTATTACGAAATCTGGAGTATGGGTTCCTGAACGCCAGGCTCAGGGGTCGCAGGTGGGGGCGCACCTCCCCCCTGCCGCACACGAGATCACGCAGCCTCCCGGCTCGGGACTTGAGCCAAAACTGCCACGGAGAGGAGAAGTGAGGAGGAGGAGGAGGAGGAGGAGCAGGAGGAGGAGGAGGAGGAGGAGGAGGAGGAGGAGGAGTGAGGAGGAGTGAGGAGGAGGAGGAGGAAAAGGAGGAAAAGGAGGAGGAGGAGGAGGAGGAGGAGGAGTAGGAGTGAGGAGGAGGAGGGGCGGCACCTGCGGGCGGTGCCCGTCGGGGCGGACGGGCGTTGGAGGTCAGACCAGCACTCGGGGGCAACGTTGGTCTGGGCCTCCCAGATGGGGTGCGGAGCAGATGGGGTCGGAGGATCGCGCCGCATCGTTCAGGAGGGGAAGAAACACACAGACACAATTAATCGTCGATCCCCAGGAAAATATGGGAAAATATGGGAAGTGGGGGGAAGACAAAAACCCAGAAAAGATTGGAACAGATGGGGAATCTTTTTATTTGTGTGTATTTATTTGTGTGTTTGTGGGCCCCTTCAATCGTTGATGCATCGGCGATGCAGTTCGATGTGGAGCCCGATTTGCTTCACGCCGATGTCGCCGATGCATCGCCGACGTCGACGATGCACTGCTGGGGGCAGGTCGGCACTCAGGGGCAACGTATGGGGGTTGATATAGGCTCAAGTGTGCGTCACCACAACATACTAATAATGTGTGTGTGCGCCGCCCCCCCCTCCGCGGAACTCTTCCACGCCTAAGCGCTTTCCCCTTCCCCTCCCCCCGCGCGGGCGCCCTCGTCTTTTCATCCCTCCTGCACGCCGGTCAATTCGCTGCACGCCGGTCAATTCGCCTTCCGGTTGCCCCGAACATCCACGCGCTGGAGCGGACTGCCTCTGCCTTGCCGCCGACGAAATGCGCCGCCCTCCCCCCAGGGGAGACGCGCGCGCCGAGAAATCTAGCAGTATATGCGTCGTGGCCGGCGCTGTCTGGCCATGCCGTTGGGGAAACGCTATACTACAAGATGGGTATATTACGTGTTCGGGTCGGGCGCGCGCCTCCAAGGAGGACATATGGTGCTAATACAAGTGGCACGTGTGCCATGGTTCTTGCACAAAAAGGAAGGGGGAGGAGGAGGATGTGGAGGAGGAGGGGGGGGAGAGGATGCCAGACATCGCAGAAGGAGTGAACAAAACAGGGCCGCAAGAGGGGCTCCAGAGGGCGAGCGCGAGGAGACTCCAAGGGCCGTCCCCCGCAAGATGGCTTCAAAGACCTTTGACGGGTTCCCAGGAAGCCTCCAACTGACGCCCGAGAAGCCTACAGAGGGTTCCAAGGGGAGGCCTCCAGGGTCCAAGGAGGGCTGGAAGAAATTACTGAGCGGACTCAGCTGCTGGGGGCTCGCGGTGCAAAGTGCGCGGCGGCCTTGTGTTGCGAACGCTTGTCCAAGGCAGTCGCTTTGCACGCAGAGTCTGTCGGGTGTATTCTCGGGGGCCGGCTATGCGCCACTTGAATGGGGGCCTCCCCCACAGACCAGACTTTCGGCCCGGGGCGGCGGCGGCGACGACGACGGCGACGACGGCGGCGGCGTCGGTGGCGACGGCGGCGACGGCATCGGGGCGTCGCGGAAGAGAGAAGGGACGGGTAGGGAGGGCGAAAGGAGCAGGGCTGAGCGGGGGTGGGCGGGGCGGAGGGGGCACTGGGCGGGCGCTGGAGCCGCGGGGGGCGCTGAGACACGGTACGCAGGGGGGGACCGGGAGGAGGGGTGCGGTGCGAATATAGGGTCGGGCAGGTAGGGGCACTGGGCGGGCGCTCGAGCCGCAGGGGAGCGCTCAGACGGTGCGGGGGAGGCGGCGGAGCGGGGGGGAGGGGGCGGTGCCGAAATAAAGTGGTCGGGGCGAGAGTGGGGGGCCACTGGCGGGCGCTGGAAAACGCGGGGGGCGCTGAGACGGCCGGGTGAGAGGCGGAGCGACCGGGAGGGAGGTGCGTGCCGAAATAAAATGTCGGGGCGGGAGGGGGAAGGGCGGGCGATGGGCTGGAGCCGCGCGGGGTCGCTGAGACGGCGCGGGGGAGGGGGCGGAGCGGGGAGGGGGGGTGCGGTGCCGAAATGAAGTGGTCGGGGCGGAGGAGACACTGGGCGGGCGCTGGAGCCGCGGGGGGGCGCTGAGACGGCGCGGGGGAGGGGGCGGAGGGGGAGGGGTGCGGTGCCGAAATAAAGTGGTCGGGGCGGAGGGGGCGCTGGGCGGGCGCTGGAGCCGCGGGGGGGGCGCTGAGACGGCGCGGGGGGGGCGGAGCGGGGGGGGGGGGGGGCGGTTGTTTACCGAAAAGTGTTCGGGGCGATGGGGCACGGGGCGGGCGGCTAGATCCGCAGGGGGTGCGCTGAAGACGGAGCGCGGGGGGGGGGGCCCGGACGCGGGCGAGGGGGGGTGCGGTTGCGAAATAAAGTGGTCGGGGGCGGAGGCGGGCACATGGCGCCCCGACGGGCACATGGCGCAGGCGGTGGAGCCGCGCGGGGGGGGGCGCTGAGACGGCGCGGGGGAGGGGCGCGGAGCGGGGGGGGGGGGTGCTGGCGAAATAAAGTCGTCGGGGCGGAGGGGGCACTGGGCGGGCGCTAGAGCCGCGGGGGGGCGCTGAGACGGCGCGGGGGAGGGGGCGGAGGGGGAGGGGTGCGGTGCCGAAATAAAGTGGTTGGGGCGGAGGGGGCGCTGGGCGGGCGCTGGAGCCGCGGGGGGGCGCTGAGACGGCGCGGGGGAGGGGGCGGAGCGGGGGGGGGTGCGGTGCCGAAATAAAATGGTCGGGGCGGAGGGGGCGCTGGGCGGGCGCTGGAGCCGCGGGAGGGCCGGGTGCGCTGAGACTGCGCGGGGGAGGGAGCGGAGCGGGGGGGGGTGCGGTGACAGAAATAAAGTGGTCGGGGCGGCGGGGCACTCCGCGGGCGCTGGAGCGCGCAGGGGGCTGAGACGCGCGGGGGAGGGGGCGGAAGCGGGGGGGGGGGTTTGCGGTGTCGAAATAAAGTGGTCGAGTGCGGAGGGGGGCACTGAGCGGGCGCTGAGACGGCTGCGGTCTGGTGGAGGGGCGGAGGGGGGGAGGGGGGGTGACAAGTGCCGAATATATAATGGTTTCGGGGCGGAGGGGGCGCTGGGCGGGCGCTGGAGCCGCGCGGGGGCGCTGAGACGGCGCGGGTGAGGGGGCGGAGCGGGGGGGCGGTGCGGTGCCGAAATAAAGTGGTCGTGGCGGAGGGGGCACTGGGCGGGCGCTGGAGCCGCGAGGTGGCGCTGAGACGGCGCGGGGGAGGCGGCGGAGCGGGGAGGGGGGGTGCGGTGCCGAAATAAAAAGTGGTCGAGGCGGAGGGGGCACTGGGCGGGCGCTGGAGCCGCGGGGGGGCGCTGAGACGGCGCGGGGGAGGGGGCGGAGCGGGGGGGGGGTGCGGTGCCGAAATAAAGTGGTCGGGGCGGAGGGGGCACTGGGCGGGCGCTGGAGCCGCGGGAGGGCGCTGAGACGGAGGGGGGCGAATGATTATGATGGTGATGATGGTGAGGATGATGTGATGATGATGATGATGATGATGATGATGATGATGATGATGATGATGATGATGATGATGATGATGATGATGATGATGATGATGATGATGATGATGATGATGATGATGAAGGGGGGGGGGCGGTGCCGAAATAAAGTGGTCGGAGCTCTAGACACCCTGTGCAAGAGAATATCTACGTGCGTCGCTGTAGGGGGGAGGCATCGACCCCCAGTCGCCCACTGATCGCCGATGGGGGCCCAATAGCGCCAACCTGCCCAGGAACGCGCGGGCTCACCATCGGGGGCCTCTCGCCTTATGGTGCTCCAACCTACTTTAGCTTTGATCGCCAGGAAGAATTTCGAGCGCCCAAGAAAGCACCGAGGCTCAAGGGTTTTCACGTGTCGGGCCCTGGGAGACACTCGCCCGACACTGTTTCGACACTGTTTTGACATTTTTCTGTGTGCTCGAATTTATTTATGGGATGCGGTCCTTAAGTAGGATGGGAACAACACAATTCTCGCCAATGTTTCGGCGATGTATCGCCGATTCCAGGTAGATGCCCCCCCCATCTATGCCAGTCCCCTCCTATCGTTGCCCTTCAGGCACTCGAAGAACAACTCGGCATCGCTCGGACGTGGGCGTATTTTCTCGCTGGGGGCCGTCGAGGGGCATCCATGGAGCATCCTGCGAGCAAAACGAGACCGAACGATGCACTGGGGGTGGAACGTCCGAGCGTTGGCGGGACAACAAACTGCACAAACAAAATGTCTCTGAGTTCCGCGGGGTTTTCTTGGATGTGCGCTGGAACCCACTGGCGGCGCCTCTGGCGCGAGGTGTAGTGAAGTACCGCCGGGAGCCGTTGTTGTTGCAGCTCGGGGTCCAGGGACGCAGTTTGGTGACATTTCGCGTTCCCATGTAAACACCAGGGTGCGAGCACTGGGATAATCACTTCAATCGATGAGATACAATGGCCACTGGGGAGGAGGATCAACAACACCTATTATTTCGACAGGATGCTTCAGCAACAACAACAACAACAACATCAACATCAACATCAACATCAACAACAACAGCAACAGCAACAGCAGCAACAGCAAGAACAACAACAACAACACCAACAGCAACAACAACAATTACAACTGCAACAACAATGTGAGCTCGATGGCGCCTGGCGACCGCCTCACTGATCAACGGACGCATCCCCCCCAGGCCACAGGGATCCACAACGGGTCATTGGATGCTCCCCCATTGTTGCATCCGAGTTTTGCCAGTGCCCACCCAACTATACAAATCCTTCACCCTTCGCGCATCCCCACGAACCCGTTCAGAAACGTTGCCCAGAGAGGTGATTTGAAGAGAGACGAAGAGGCGCATATAGACCAGTGATGAGCAAAGCGGGTAACTAGGATGAACACCGAGATTTTTGGGAGCGTGGGAGTGGCCTTGGAGGGCCTCTTCGGGCCATCGCTGGGGCCTGCGGGGGCGCGAGGGGAGGAGGAGGAGGAGGAGGAGGAGGAGGAGGAGGAGGAGGAGGAGGAGGAGGAGGAGGAGGAGGAGGAGTGAGGAGTGATGAGTGAGGAGGGAGGAGGAGGGAGGAGGAGGAGGAGGGAGGAGGAGGAGGAGGAGGAGGAGAGAATCCGCCTCTTGGGGCCCTCGTGGGACGCTCTTGGGCCTTGGGGCGCTCTTGTATGCTCTTGGGGCCCTCTTGGGGCTCTCTTTGGGCCCACTTGGGAGCCCTGGAGGGCCTCTTTAGGTCCTCTTGGATGCTATCGATCAATGGAGGGGGGGTCCCTGATGTTAGCTCCCCCCCCTGGGGCCATCAAAATCACCTCTCGGGCCGCTCTTGGGCGCTCTTGGGGCCGTCCAGGTAACTTGGGCCCCTCGTGGACCTCTCTTGGGCCATCTTGGGGCTATCTTGCGGCCACAAAAGGGCATCGGAAGCGGCAAAGCGAGAAGGTACACATAATTGATGCTCCTTTGTTGTTGAATGATGTTGGCCTCTTGGGGGGTCCTCAGGGGGCTCCGAGAGCACTTGAAATCGTTTTGTGGCCCTCGTCGGGCCTCTTGGAGGTATGTCGGAAGCTATCTTGAGCCATCTTCGGTTATCTAGAGCCATCTTGGAGGCCTTCAAAATGCATCGGAGGCCCTCTTGGAGCCATCTTGAGCCATCTTGCGTGCTCTGACCGATCACGCCCTCCCCCCAAAAAAACAATCTCAAGCAGGGGAGGGGGAGGGTACCCCTCCCCGAATGGAAGCGGGTTTTTGAAGAGAGACAAGTTAGCCCAAAATGGGATTCCTTGCCAGCACCCACGCAGGCAAGGGTCGACGAGCATCGTCGAAAGTCAACCGCTACTGGTTTACAGCTTGGGGGGTCAATCGACTGGATACTCCAGGGTGCCTTCTCTCCGCGCCCGGGTCCCAGATCCGCGGATCTGTAATCCGCGGTAGGGTTTGCTGGAACGGAGGGAGGGGTGAGGGAGGCAGGGAGACGGGGGAGGGGGGAGGCAGGGGGGAGACGGGGGAGGGGGACAGGGGGAGACGGGGGAGGGGGGAGGCAGGTGGGAGACGGGGGAAACGGGGAACCAGGGGACAGGGGGGAGACGGGGGACAGGCGGGAAGCAGGGGGGGGAGACGGGGGGGAAGCAGGGGGGCGACGGGGGAGGTGGCGGAAGGGAGGAGACAGGGGGGAGACGGGGGAGGGGGGAAGTGGGGGGGAGCGCACCTCAGCATTCGGCCCGTCGCCGCGACATTCTGCACACCCTACAGGTACCACCGCCAGTTCGTCAGGCAGCACCACCGCCAGCGCTTCCAGCGCAGCCAGCTCGGCCAGCGCGGCCACCGCGGCCAGCGCGGCCACCGCGGCCAGCGCAGCCAGAGGTACCCGCCGTCTGGTCGGGAAGGGGCAGAGCGTTGCACTGAGAGCTGAGAGCGCCATCCTGTCGCGTTTCGCTCGGAAGCTCCCCGACATCCTCCTCGCGCCTCCTCCCTCAATCCCCCTTACACCTTACAGTCACTCCTTCCCCCTCAATACTTCTCCTCCCTCAATGCTCCTCCCCCTTACAGTACCCCTCCTCCCTCCATACTCCTGCCCCTTACAGTCCAGACGCCGCTGACATACGAAAGAGCGCGTTCTGTGGTCGCTTGGAGGGCGGGGGAGTTTGGAACCCGACCCCCCCTCTGGATGGAGGGGGAGGTTTCGAACCCCCCCCCTTCCCGTGACAGAGGGGAGGGGGTTCAAACCCGCTTTCCCCCCCTCCCCAACTTTTCCTCTCTCCCTTTCCTCGGGCCGGCGCCTGCGTCGGCGGCGGCTGGCTGGCGGCGGCGGGGGCGACGACTTCCTTTTTTGGGCCGGCGCCGGCGCCTGCGGCGGCGGGCGGCGGCGGCGGGGAGCGTCGACGAGGACGACGGCGACGACGCTGACGTCGACGACGACGAACAGCCACCGTGCCTTAGTTTCGGGTCAGAGTCCTAATGGATGCCTCTTGGAGTCTGGTCGGAGGGTTCTCGGGGGCCTCTGAAAGCCATTTGTGAAGCCTTCTGGGCGCCCCTTGGGCGTCTCTTGGAGCCTCTCTGAGGTAGTGGTGGTGGGCTGTGGTGGTCGTGGTAGTTGTGGCGGTATTGGTGGAGCTGGCGGTTGTGGTGGTGGTGTGGTGGTGGTGGTGGCGGTGGTGGTTGTTGTGGTGGTTCTGGTGGTGGCGGTGGTGGTTGTTGTGGTGGTTGTGGGTGTGGTTTCAGTGGTGGTGGTTGTGATGTGGTTTCTGGTATTGGTTGTAGTGGTGATGGTAGTTGTAGTGGTGATGGGTTAAGGTGGTGGTGGTGGTGGCGGTGGTGGTGTGGTGTGATGGTTTGTTGTGGTGGTTGTGGTGGTGGTAGTAGTTGTGGTGGTGGTGGTGGTGGTGGGTTGTGGTGGTGATGGCGGTGGTGGTAGTTGTTGTGGTGGTTGCGGTGGTGGTTTGTTGTGGTGGTGGTGGCCGTGGTAGTGGGTGGTGCTGGTGGTGGTGGTGGTGGTGGTGGTCGTGGTGATGGTGTTGTGGTGGTTTGCGGTGGTGGTGGGTTGTTGTGGTGGTGGTGGTGGCCGTGTTGTGGTTGCGGTGGGTGGTGTGGTGGTTTGTGGTGGTGGTAGTGTTTGTGGTGGTGGTTGGTGGTGGTGGTGATGGTGTGGTGGTAGTTTGTGGTGGTGGTGGTGGGTGGTTGTCGTGGTGGTGGTGGTTGTGGTGTGGTGGTTTGTGGTGGTGTTGATGGCGATGGTGGTGCGGGCGGTGGTTTGTGGTGGTGGTGGTGGCGGTGGTGGTGGTGTGGTGGTTTGTGGTGGTGGTGGTGTGTTGGGTTGTTGTGGTGGTGGTTGTGGCTGTGGTGGCGTGGTGGTGTGGTAGAGTGTGGTGGTGGTGGTTTGTTGTGGTGTTGGTGGTGGTGGTGAGTTGTTGTGGTGGTGGTTGTTTGTGGTGGTGGTGCTGCTGCTGCTGGTAGCGGTGTTGGAGGTGGGTGGTGGGTGGTGGTGGTGGTGGTGGTGGTGGTGGTGGTGGTGGTAGTGGTGGTAGTGGTGGTAGTGGTGGTGGTTGTGGTGGTTTGTGGTGGTGGTGGTGGTGGGTTGCGGTGATGGTTGTTGTGGTGGCGGTGGTGGTGGTTTTTGGTGGTGGTGGTTGTGGTGGGTTACGGTGGGTTGTGTTGGTGCTGGTGGTGGTGGCGTCTTTGGAGGTGGTTGTTTGGTTTGAGGTGATGGTGCTGGTTGTGGTGGTGGTGGGTTGTGGTGATTGTGGTGGTGGTGGTGGTTGTGGTGGTGGTGGTGGTGTGGTTGTTGGTGGTGGTGGTGGTGGTGGTGGTGGTGTGGCCTTCGGCTCTTCCCGCCACCGTGTTTTAGCTTTGGGTCAGAGTTCTAATGGGTGCCTCTTGAGGTCTCATCAGAAGGGACTCGGGGGCGTCTGAGGAGCATGTGTGAAGCCTCGTAGACCTTCCTAGGAGCCTCTCGGTGGCTTCTGTGGCGCGAGGGCTCGATATGGCGATGTGTGTGTGTTCCCTTTGCGGCCTCTGGGCCCTCTCTGGTAATCGTCGCTGCGTCCCCGCCGTCGGCGCTGCTGGCCAGCGCGGGCGCCGGCGCAAGCGCGGGGAGGGGGGGGGGGGTGGAACCCCCCCTGCCCCCTGGGGCCCCCTCTGGACATCGTCGCTGCGTCCCCGCCGTCAGCGCGGCGGCCGCCAGCGCCGGCGCTGGCGCGGGCGCCAGAGGGAGGAGGGGTTCGGACCCGAAATGGTACGAATTACAACCGACTAGTCCCAATTCCAACCGTTCGGAGCGAATAGCAACCAGAAAAAAGACCAATTCCAACCACAAGTGAGACCAATTCCAACCCAACCAAAAATGAGACCAATTCCAACCACGGATGGGATCTTCGG